TACCATGATAGAGTTATGGGAAAGAGAATGTTGGAAAGCTTAATTATACTGATGTGATTCCATGAGTATATATAGTACATGATGAAGCAATATAATACGACTAGATACATTGGAGTACTTGTCTAGGAACATTAGCTAAGAATAAGGGATATCTTTGACTATCAATCTAAAGAGTAAATCAAGGGATTGCTAACTAGAAACAATATCAATAAATATGATTTGATCAAATCCTTTACAGATGAGTCACATTGAGTATAGTAGAAATTGTTATATTTGTTCTCATTGCGGCTTAAAAAGTATATGGTGTTGTGATGAGTTTTTTATTTTTCTTGTTTTTTAACAAAGTGTTGTGATAAGTTTTTTTTAGTTATGAACTTAATATTTTAAACCACCGAATTAATCAATACCTGAACAATAACTCTAATTTGGGGTTTAAATGTTTAATGAAGAAAGTACTAACAACTCTTCATGTTGAGGAAATAAATAGATAAATGAGAAACGAAAGTATTAATGTCTTGTAGTACTTTATTTGAATGTAGAGATGAAATATTGAAGAACAAACCAACAATTTATTTTTTTTTATTTTTTTTCAAAGAGCATAATTTAGAACGTGTTTGACACTAACTTAATTTAATTTTGAGTAGATTTTATATTTACTCTTTTAAATTACTACTCAATAAGCAAAAAAATTTGAGTGTTAAGCAAAGGTAGTGGTAGAAATAGCTTTTGTCAAAAGCTAAAACTACTAGCTTTTGAAATGGTTGACTAGCTAATATACTTATATTAACTAGTCAACCGTTACTTTACTAAACACTCCTAATAAATTAATTATTTATCGTCAAAATTATGCTAATTGCCTGTTGACAATTAATCACGTCTATTAATATCACAACATTTACTATCACTACTAATGCTATGTTAATTCAAATCCATAAGTGTACCTGTGGTATTTGATACTTGTAAAATAATGTTCCATTTAAGCGATAATTACTACAATTGTTTTCCAAAAGAAAAATAAAAACTTTTAGCAAATTAGGGAGTAATCAATTTTTTTTTTTCGTCTATTCTAATAATAAGGTATTGTTATGTGTAAGTCCGGATAGTAGACGAATATAAGTTATTGAACGTTTGATACTCCCTCTGTCCCAATTTCGATTGTTGATGCACATGTTTGACCGTTGATATCTTTTATTATATATTTATACATAATATAAGTTATAAAAAGTTTATATTAAGAAACTATACATTAAAATAGACCCAACATCTTACATGTTTACACGACTTTCATATACTCCGTAATAGTTAAAAAAAATGGTCAAAGGGTTGAATAGTACAAAAAGTCAAACCGTTACAAGTAATTTGGGACGGAGGGAGTACAACATATAAGTATTTGAATATCTCAACTTTTAAAATTTAGATATAAATTTTTGAACAATTATTTTTATACAAGTTTTTAAACAATTTTATTTATATAAGTTTTTAAAAATTCATACAGTAACATATCATTATATATTAGGAGTTGATGGTTTTGTAAAAAATGGGTATAATTGTTTTGTTGGCTGTATTTTTCAAATTTTTCTAACCATTAAAACTTTCGACTATTTATGCTGCGAATTCTCAATTCTCAAATACATACTTGGATTTCAGTAACGATAGAATCCTTTCAAAATTTCTTTGCCCATTATATTCAACGTCGAAAAATGGAACTGTTTATGAAAGATTATAACATAATCTAAGCCTTTACTAATATAAAACTGATTTAGAAATTGATAAATTAGACTAATTTTAAGAAGCTAAATGCGAATCGAAAGTCATTTGTTTGACATTCGATGAACATTGATTGTCTTTGTATATTATTATGGACCGTTTGGTATGGTGGATAACTGGATACCTTACTAGTTTATTGCGATGTGTAATGCATTCAATTTTAAGTCAGATTGTTCGTTGCAATAATAAACGGAACGTTTATGATTGAAAGTTATGTACTACAATATATATATCAATTAAGGTCAATATTCAGGGATGATTTTTTTTTTTTTTAAAAAAAAAAAAATCTATTTAGGCCGGATATAGTCTGACTCCCTCTCTCCACTATCTACATGCCTACTTTCTCTTATCTACGTGTACAATAATAAACAGAACGTAGTGATTGAAAGTTATGTACAATATATGTCAAAAAAAAAATTGTTTTGGCCGGAATAGTCTATATTAATCTTTCCGGGAAATTAGGTTATTTAATTTCCCTTTATCGTGCTAGTTTATTATAGTTTTCTCTTTTAGTTATAGTAAAGCTACACAAGTGTAGTTAGTTGTGATTGTTCATCTCCATCCCTATTATATTTGATTCGCTTGTATTAGTTGAACTATTAGAATTGATTAAGTGCAAATAGACAAGATGATGACGATTTATACGAGATTGAAACATTTGTCAATCAATAATTTACAACAATTTGATAAATTGGTCGGAAATCTACAAATTTGTGAACCCCTTCTCAAACATTGTATATGCAAATAGCGATGTGAAAGAATGTATGAATTAAACAATGAACACGATGTAAAAACATTAAAAAAATTGTACTCCGTAAGATGCATGCCTGGGGTCACTAGGTCACGTCTGTGTTATAGGCAGCTAGCTTGGCATAGTTTCTTGCGAATTTGTGGTATTGCTTGTTTGAGATTGGTTGGTTTAGAAATGTATAATCTTTATTTTCCTAATTAATTGTAATTAGATTAGCTAGGAAGATGGTATAAAGATTTCATAATTTTCTATTTATTATAGATCCACCTTAATATTTAATTAGAATGTTCACAGCTTGAAGCGAGAAATAAAGCATATGTTACATATGATACATAATGGATGTAAAAATGCATAGTGCATACATAAACTCTTTGGATTTTAGTATTTTCTTTAAGAATTGTGACTTCCATGTAATTCTAGGAGTGTTGTTGATTGTTGTTGCTAATAAATACTTCACGTTAGGAAGCAATTGGTTAACGACGATGTTGTTTTTTGCCCCTACTTTTTTATGAGGGATATTTTTCTCGTATGAATTTACTTTAACATTACCTTTTAGTTTCGCACACATTGTATAATGTATATACTTGTTCAATGTCTAAATTTTCATTTTTGTTTATTTTGACATTCTAGCAAAATACTCCATAATAATATCAATTGATTTTATGATGGAATTATACTAGGCATCCATTGGTAAAAAAATATCTTGTTTGGATTTTTTGTTGGCCCAAACAATATTTATTATATTTATATCAATTTAATTATGGAAAGGAAAGAGGTAAAATAGTACAAGACCTTCACGTACATTCTTTAAGACTGTAACACCCACAGGCCACATCCCCCTAAATTCTAATACAAGTACATCAACCATTCTTGTCATTTAGCTTGATCAATTATTTTTTTAATGATAATGAAGTACAAAGTAAAATATATTATCTCGTCTATATTTTGTCTTTAGGTCATTGCCTTTTAGTATATTGGTATATTTTTAATCGAGTATATAAATTGATCTTGAGATTCAACCATCAGCTTAAAGTTTTGATTAATTTGATCTATTAATATGGTATCAATAGAAAACGTGAGACAAATGTTACATAAGAGGATGTGATAGGCCAGAGTATATAGATCAATCTAACTATCAGGTTAAACTTTTTGTTGAATTAAAGGAGGGATACCCAGTCAATTCCCCAAATAAACAAAATTTGTTTATCTGGAGGTATAACCGTTTTTTCAAGTAGCAGTGGAGGGGTATATGTGTCTTTTCATGTACTAGTTGAGGGGGTACATGTGTAATTTCCTCACCAAACAGTATAAGTAAAAAGCAAACAGTAATTGGACAGCTCACCAAAAGTAATGAATAAATGACCCTGCTTTTTTAATATATTTACAAAAATACCATCAGATTAACAAAAATTCGTTTATCTGGCAGATTAACTTGTATTTTCCCGAATTAAAGAGAAAAAAAATCATTAATAAAAAATAATCATAGTTGTTTTGGTGAAAATACTCATTTAATTTTCTAAATACTTATAAAAATTATACGGAGTATTGATTTGTTTTTTTTTTCCTTTTGGTGTTCATAGTATCCCACCTGTTTTACCTTTTGGGCTAATCGAATTCATGACTCAATTTTAAGTGGTTAGGTTATAGTCCCCTTCTAATAGTTAGGATATATAAGATCTATTTAATTTTTATTAGTATATTGCTATTTTACATAAAAGTTAATCATGGTTTGATAAAGATGTGAAACGTTGACTGCCTTGTTTAATTCCACCCTAGGTTTGATCAAAACGTGTGACTCAATAATACTTTTTTTTTTTTAATAGACTCAATAATACTTTTTCATTTCTCACAATCTCATTAAAATTAATAATTAACCAATTTGTGAAGTATGAAGGAACAAAAACTATAGCACTAAAATACTTCAATAGTCACCATCGCTCGCTAGTCGGCACGCTAATTCTAATCCATGAGCAATGAGAAACATTAATTAGCTCAACTACCAAATACAAGTAATAACCAACGTTATTTTTTGCATTAGAACTACCTCTACAACGCATGGTTAGGGCCTACGGCTACTAACTTTGACAAATTAGGGAGAAGAGATAATGAATAGCTTTTGTATTGCTTGATTTCTCATTAATCAACTTGGGAAATATATAGAGATACAATTCCTCCCAACATTAAGAATGTGTTTATATTTTCGTTCAACTCTCCCATTCTGTTGAGGGGTTCCCACACAAGAAGTTTGAAAAATAATTCCAGAAGCGGTAAAGAAATCAATCAAACAATTAAATTCGGTACCATTATCACTTTGAATAGTTTTAATGGTTTGATTAAATTGTCTATCAACCATAGCAACAAAAGCCATAAACATCTGAAAAACTTCGGTTTTATCGATCAACAAATAAATCCAAACAGCCCTTGAATAATCATCAACAATGGTTAAAAAATAACGAGTCCCACAAGACGAAACATGACGATATGGACCCCATAAATCACAATGTATTTTCTCAAAAATTCTAGAAGATTTATTGTCACTCAAGGGAAATTTGTCTCTAGAATGTTTAGCACGAAAACATACTTCACAACTTTTATTTAAACTACTTGTATTGTTACTAACATGCGGAATTAACTTAACTACTTTCTCTGAAGGATGCCCCATTCTTCTATGCCAAAGCTCCAAATCTGTCGTTGCCTCAACAGCAGAAACCCGTTGCACCACTGTCGGTTTGCCAAAGAAATAATATAGTCCGTCTCGCCTAATTCCCGTTCCAATCAGCTGCTTCAGTCGGTCCTGTATAGCACACATATATGAGTTAAATTGAACAACAACTTCTAAGTGATCACTGAGTTGAGTAACAGAAAGCAAATTGCAATTAAGATTAGGCACGTAAAGAACTCTAGTGATAGTTATTTGATCGGACAATGTGACCGATCCTTCCAAAGTAGCAAGCACACTGTCACCGTTTGGCAATCCGACAGGGCATTCAACATAACGTGTGTCAAATAACCAAAATTGATTACCGGTAACGTGACGAGTCACACCGGTATCAATAATCCAACAAGAATCATCAAACTTACCATGTAGGCGATTGTCAGGAATTTTAGCATTACCAATAAAACCCGACAGTGCCTTCCATTGCTCGGCGGTGAAAGCTTGAGACGAAGAAGATGTGGGAGACTGAGAATCGGCTGCTGTCAGATTAGCCCGAGGCCCCCCCTTGCTCTGACCAGGCGTTCCGGTCTTCGGGCCTGCTGTCCAACCCGCAGGATACCCAACAACTTCAAAACATCGAGATGGATCGTGCCCCTTTCTCTTGCAATGTGGACAAGGAGCCTTGAACCAACAATTTGAGAAATCGTGTCCCTGCTTTTTGCAATGAGAGCAAATAGAACCACGACCACTTGTATTAGCCCGTAAAGCGAAACCAACAGCATCGGATGTCGACGCTTCAGCTTCCTTCCGAGCATTGCGAACCCGCTCCTCTTGAACGGCTAGCTGATAAGCCCTATCAAGAGTAGGTAAGGGATATTGAGAAAGAATATAAGACCGGAGAGAAGAATAGTAATCTGGGTACAAACCCATGAGAAAATATGTAAGCGTGACTGATCTCGGCGTTGCTCGTGGAGACGACCTGCCGTACAAGCCGAGCAACACGAGCAGGAGATTAAAGGCTCGTGGTGATCTAATTCGAGCCAAAGAGCGTGCAATTTACCATAGTATACAGAGACTGCCATGGACTTGCTCTGTTCACACCGCACAAGAGATGATCAGAGTTGTTGAATTCGAGGGCCATTGGTCTGAGCAAAACGTTGCTGTAGATGGTCCCAAAACGGCTTGATTTCTCTAAATTTGGACAGGGAAGACTTAATCTCAGGGGCAATAGTATTGGAAAACCAAGAAATTAACATAGCATTCAAGGCTGTCCAATCGGACTTTGAGCAAGGGGGGGTGTGGTACCGTAATAGTACCATCAAGAAACTCGAATTTGCGTCTGGCTTCCAAGGCAGTCCGAATATCGGCCGCCCATTCATCAAAGTTGTTGCCTTTGAGACGAGTAGGAGTAATGTAATCTCCAGGTCTGTCTTGAGGACCTTGATAATAAGGGGAATTTGATTCAATTTTGGTCGGTGGTGATGGCGGCGGCACATCATCACCAGCCATGGTGGTTTAGAAAGAAAAAAAATCAAGAAAAATATCCTGCTCTTGATACCATGACAAATTAGGGAGAAGAGATAATGAATAGCTTTTGTATTGCTTGATTTCTCATTAATCAACTTGGGAAATATATAGAGATACAATTCCAAGTCCTAGTATCATAAGATATCTTAGGATCTTTGGAAAAATAGGAAAGATAAATATATGGAAAATATTCTACTAAATCACAAAGATATGATATTATCTCAATAAACTTGCACTCCATCTCCAATTCTACGTGTTTTTTATTTATCAACAATTAACTTTTGTGTTCGATTGCAAGTCAATTGACCGCCGAATCTCTCACAAGTTTATGTTCATGTTCATATTCATACATATTCATATTCATGGGTCACCATGTTTCATAGTCATATTGCTCTACTAAATAAAATTATATTAGGTCGTCATCATATAGGGTTTAGTTAGAGTCAACACAAGATATAATCTATTCTTTTTTAATGGTTGAAGACAATTGTTATTTGTTAAATCCCACAAATCAATACTTAGAATTTGAGTCATGAGATGGCCTCCATAAAATTAAAAATTAAAATTTAAAATTAAAAAAAAATATAAAAAAAATATATATATAAAAAATAAATAAAAACTATGATGAGAAGAACATTCAACACTACACAGTACTCACTCATAATTTAGATTGATTTAATTAAACTATTTGATCAACTCATATCTTTTTTTTCTGTAAGTTTTAGCAAAAATCACTACAAGAAAAATCACTTTTCGTAGCGATTATTTCGTAGCGATTGTACATTCACTACAATATGCAAGTATGTTTGTGAAATAATTAAGGATGTGGCATCATTTTTACAATCTCCATGGTTTTCCCATATAAAATCGATACGGAAAACATAATAATACATATCAACACTATTTTTACACATTTATATAATTTTGAGAAATCGTAACATTTACAATCGCCACTAAATCCTAAAAATTGATACGAAAAGCCTTTTCAACATTAGATATATAAATATTGTTTGACAAAGAATACATAAAATATGTCATAGTTTATTGGTGAAACATTTAATATAAGAGTTTGAGGTTGCATGTTCGAATCTTGTAAAGATCATACGCATGTATTTTTTTTTTTTTTTTAAGAAAATGAGTTAAACATTTATAGCGATTGTAATCGCTACAATAATTACCACGATTGGATGTAGTTTTTCGTATCGATTATTGAGGCCAACCCCAGCGATATTGAAACCCACTACTAAAGGCTAAGGCAATGGGGGATATTGTATCGAATGACCATTCGTTGGGAAAGCTTTTTGTTGCAATTACAATCGATACTAAAGGTTAAAATAATCGCTACGAAAAGGTTATTTTCTTGTAGTGAATAAGCAAGATTAAACCAAAAATAAAGTTCAATAAAATTAAATTAAGCAAGAATAAGTAAATAAAGCTCTACAAGCGGGTTTAATTTCTAAGAAACAAAGAAAACTATATGGAGAAAATGTCTAGCTTTCTTCACTTGTTTCAGCGTAGTAGGATAAAAAATAAAAAATAAAAATAAAAAAGTAGTTATTGTAGAATGAAGGGTCATTTTATAGAATAATGAAAAGCAATTGTTATGGAGAGGTGCCACATGGAAAAATTAACAATGTTTGATAAATTAAAGGATCAACTCAATCAAAATTAATTGTTAGTTATAATTTAAAATTGTTTATTTGTTTAGCATGGAGCTAATTTAATGGAAGGACCAAAAACCTTAATGGTTAATATACTTTGAGTTCTACCATTCTTACACGATATACTAAAAGTAATTTTCTATTTTAAACAAAAAAAAATCATCATAGTCAAAAGTGCATAGTAGACATGGTTAGAGAGACCTGACTCACGAAAAGGTTGCATTTCAATTGATGTAATTTTCTTTTCAACCGAAAAAAGTGACTTATTTATGAGTTCTTAGGAAATAAGGGTGTAATTGTGATTGATTAATGCGGAACAAATCAATGAAAAATAAGAACGAGAAAAACAATAGAGAATATCACTACTAGAAAAAGAGCGTTTTCCGACGGAAATTTTTCGTCGGAAACACCTTGTTTTCCGTCGGAAGCTGTCGTCGGAAAAGCGGTCGTAGGAAAAACGACATTTTCCGACGAAAATTCCATCGGAAACACTTTTCCGACGGAATTTCCAACGGATTTTTTCCTCGCAACATGCTTACCGACACCGTCAAAATCCGTCGGAATTTTACGACAGAAATTCCGTCGGAAACCGCTGCCATAAAAAATAAAAAATAAAAAAGGTACCCCACCACCCACAACTGCTATCATCCCCCAGCCACCAATTTCGCCACCAAACGCCACCACCACCACCACCACCACACCACTATCATCCCCCACCACTTCCTTAACCCACCAGCCCCCTAACCCGTATCAACAGTCCCGATCCACCCCACCACCCACAACCACCAGAACCTCTACCCACCTAACCAAAACCCACACAAACGCCACCACCACCACACCGCTATCATCACCCACCACTTCCTTAACCCACCAGCCTAGATCTACCACAAAACCCACACAAACCACCCCACGAGCCACCTTAAACCACCACCGCCATCGCCGAAACAACCATCACAACCCAAAAATTAACAAAAAAAATAAATTAAAATCCCAACACCCAGAACCCGAACTCCAACAGCAACCATAACCACATATATTCGATCTAGTTAACTTGAAACCCGAAAAGAAAAAAAAAAAAAAAAAAAAAAAAAAAAAACAGAACAAAAAAAGTTGAAGTTCAGAACAAAAAACATACACAACGATTCAACCATGGTTAGTCTTGAAATTGGTCCGAAAATTGGTTATATAAGGCCAAATTCGACCATGAAAACGCTAGATCTAGCATTTCCATTGTCGAACTTGACCTTAAAACCATAACACGCCGGGAATGTGGTCAAGAATATGGTCGAAAAAGCTTCGTGGGCAAAGGAGATCGAGAGAGGAGAAATAAAGAGTAGAGGAGTAGCAAAGGAGATCGAGAGAGGAGAGATAAAGAATGAAGAGAGGAGAGGGAGTGCGGCGCGGCGATGAGGGAAAGAGGAGAGTGAGGGAGAAAATGGGAACTGAAATGGGGGGTTGGTTTTAGGGTTAGCTATTTATACGAAATTTTCTACCTTTTAAAATAAATGTGGTCAGATGCTTTTCCGACGGAAAATTCCGTTTTATTTTTGACGAATTTTTCCGTCGAAACATACTTTCCTACGAAATTTCCGTCGGAACTGTTTGAAATCTGTCGGAAAGTTCCGACGGAATAAAATCCCGTCGAAAATTTCCAACAGAATTTTTTTCCGTTGGAAATTTTGTGATTTGCGACGAATTTTCGTGTCCGTCGAAACATTTACGTCGGAATTCGGCCTATTTCTAGTAGTGTATAAATAAAGAACACGGGATTTATATGGTTCGGTCAAATTAGACCTACATCCACAGATGAGGAATTCGAGAGCTTCTTCTTTATAATGGAGAAATTAAAGAACGAGAGAATAATACAAGGAGTCTTAAATCTAATGGCTCAAAAGATATGATCTAAATGATCAACTAAAGGTTTCTTTTATAACACAAGAAAACCCTAATAAAACCCTAAAATTGTTCCCCAAGTATACTTAAATAACCGTCATAGAAAAGATACTACTATAATTTTAGAAAATCATCCCTAAAATAATTAAGCTAAAATCGGATACCAAAAACTGAAATTTTGACTAGGCATGGTCGTGTTCGTGTACTTCGTCGGCATATTTCCAGCAGCGTCAGTTCTTCGTAAAACGGCCATAACTTTTTCGTTTCTTATCGGAATTGGGCATATGACCTATCGTTGGAAAGCTCTTGAACCAAGATATCACCTCCAACTTGAATCACATCAAAATCATTTGTAGTTTGAGAGATATCTGCGTTCAAAGTCAACCGTACTAGATTTCAAGTCATAATTTAACATGAGTAAAACTCATCCAAAATTCATAATCACACACGATAGAAAACTAATTTATCCGCAAAATAAAATGTTTCTTATTATAGTTAAAATTATCATGATTTATGAATTCATTTATTTATTAATATGTTTATTTAAGTGAGTAAATATTGAAAATGACCCAACTATTATTATAAAAAGGTAGTTTAGTAAATTGACATTCTTATTAAAAAAATATATATATAAAAATAAAAAGGGTAATTTCCCTATATTCATATTACATTTTATACAGTCTTCTTTTGGCATCTAGAACAAATGAAGTGGTCTTTTTCGTATAAATAAGAAACTTGCACGGGTGATTGTCGTCTAAATTTAATTAGTCATATCTTATCGAGCTAATATTGCTAATTGTTACGGATAATTTATGACTTAATTATTCAGAGAGCCAACTGTTTGGCAGTCAATTGTACACAAAGGCGTGTGCAATCAATAACAGTGGCCACATCAAATCCTCTAAAATAGAAAAATAATACTAGCTTATTAACACAAAACATTTAAATAAGACAGGTTTACAATAAATACTGCATTATAATTTGAGTACATTATAAAAATTACTTTAAATAAAACTAAAAGTTACTCGAATATAAAATTAAATCAATTAATGATAAGGTTATCCATTAAAAAACTTATCCATTAAATATCACTTTTCTTAGTTCAGTTCAGTTCACTTCAGCTCCAATTAATTTAGTTCACTTCAACTCCTAATTTCCTTCTCTCATAAAATATTCATTTCAGCTCAGTTGAGTTCAGTTCAGCTCAAATCAGTTTTGTTCAGTTCAGTTCCGCTCCAATTAGTTCAGTTCAGCTCAGCTCAGTTCAGTAAATGTGAACAAACCCTTAATCACATCACCCTTTAATAGTTCATGTTGGGATTTTTTGATAGATTATAAAACATATTCATAGGCTTCAACCATCAGTTTAAACTTTTGTTTGAATTGATCCTTTAACATGATATCAGAGCCTTGTGCAGGTTATGTAGAGGGTTAATGCTGCATTCGTATTTCAAGCCCAAAAGACTCTCATGTGAGGAGGCGTGATAGAGTATAAAACAATCGATTTTACAACATTTGATGCATGATTTCCTCTCTTTGTACTTCATTCTACTCGAAGATTAGAGATCCAATTATTGCTTCTCTACAATTAGTCCATAAGCAGGTGTCGAATCTTGTTGAACAACAGACCTCCCAAGTATCACCACATGTAAGTGTTTCACATTGATTGAAGAAGAAAGAGTTAATAACTT